AGTCATGTACCTGTTATGTAAGAGATTCGAGCTTGCAGAAGAAAAACTGTCCTGGGCTTTCCATTGCATAACTTGGTAACGTATCCCTCGTTTGACAGAGTGTTCCAGAGACCATCTGTGATTGTTTTCGAGATAGTTTCGCTTCATGAGGTTATGGGAGAGAAGGAGCCATGTCAGAAGAAGGTGTTGCTGAGACACGATTTTCTCTGAAGACGGCAGCTCTGCGGGTGTTCCATCTCCCCCTTTCTTGGTATTATTCTCTTAACCAGGTAATAAACACATTATCTAAATACTGTTGCTTTTGATATGCATTTAGGCGTTTATTGCAATGTTGTACGTGCTCTTGTGAGCTTGACGTGAATTAAATTTCTACAGAATACCTTGGGGCTTAGTTTGTTCAAAACACTGAACTAAAAGAAGCGGGGCTTTTTGTTTTTTCTGCTAATAAATGGTTAGTACATCATCACACATCTGCTTTACCTGCACTGCCTGTGTGGCTCCATTTTGTAACAGTGCAATGACTCTCACCAAATATCAAAATCCTCGAGTTTTATTTTTCCTGTAGAATTTTGTGGTGTTCAAAAATTAAACATGACTGTCGCTAAATTTTGAGTAATAGCATCAAGTGTGGTGTGAAATACTTTCTAGATTGCCAGTACTGCTTGCCTAATTAATCTCAATGATAATTCATTAATGTAAAACAAAAACCTTTATTCTAGTTTTTGAGTCACTTTTATTTTATTAAGTAAGGGCTACAATGACTAAAACAAGATTCTTTAAAAGCAGGCTGGTTTTTAAACACCTTCAGTCCTTTATGCTGGTTTTCTTTGTTCCATTTTACTTCTGGAAAGATTTTCTTCAGAGAAAATCTCAAGGCTCCATTAATCACAGTATTTCTGTTTACAGGTGGCCCTGGAGTCATTTGGTTGTATTTTCTTTCATTGATATTGTAGGCAAGTTTTCACTAGAAACACAGAGTCTTGGTGAAGAGTAAATTATGATCATAGTTTCCAGGTTGACAAAAGCTGGAAGTGTTGTGAAGCTGATATTCCTTTTCTGCAGGGAATCACAAGATTTGTCTTTAGAGCACCTGCATGTCAAGGACAGGGAGGAGGAGCTGTAATTGAGTAGAGAATCAGAGAACATACATTTTAGTTGCTTATAACTACATATATGATAAAAGAGAGAGTGAAGTAAGTCACAGTTATTTGAGAAAAATATTTCAGTTGTAGTCCTCTGCTGCCATGGTGCACAGGATGAGAAAAAGAGTTTCTAGTTGGCTGTGCAAAATATGGTCCAGTAGATTTTTTTTTTTCCATTCTGTGCATACTGAATTACTGACAGGATAACTAAACAAAAGTTTATAATTAGAAATGCCAATAGTATTTTTTTCATAGATATTAGTAGGTCCTAAAAATGTTCTGCTTTTTGAAACCCATGTCATTAATATGACTGTATTTTATTTTTATCCAATTAGACACTCGTCAGCAAAAGCTATGTAATAGTTCATATTTCCTTGTAAATACTTCTGGTTTGCTGCATATAAAACCAGAAGGAGATATTCTCAGTCTTACCTGTATCTGCTTGTATTTTTTCTGTATTTGGAATATTTTAAAATTCTCGTTGCAAGATGACTGATTTCTTTTTTATGTTTCAGCATATTCATATCCTTTTAATATACCATGTGCAACTCCACTATGTGCAACTATTGACTCTCCTCTCCTTAGAGCTTTCATTTCACTCTTTATTTATGATCATGCCTGTTGTAGGCACACAGAAGTTTAAAAAGAATCCACTTGTGGGTCTTTGAACCTCTGTGTGCCCAGCTCTCTCTCTGGGACAAGGAATCACGTTACAGAAGCACCATATTAGGCCCAAGGACTGTGGATCTGGCTTTCTCCCAGCAGTCTGTTGCTCAAGCAGCAAGAGTTTCCAAAAGATTTTGTGAATGTGGACTGCAGTTTCCAGTTGAATGGCACTTTCTATGTTATAAACTTTGCTAATGGCTTCTGGTTGAAGTTGCTTGTATACGTGGTTCTTATTTGATAATTTAAACATCTCTAAACCTATGGTTGATCTATATCCAAAATACAGTGTGATTTTTTTTTAAAACTGTTTATTTAGAGAAGTAGGTTTAAATACCTCTTCTCCCCAAGTTGAAACCCCACACAAATGTTGGCCTTGGGATCTTTCACAGTGTAGTTATGAGGGGTGAGTTCCTTCTCAGTATTCTTTTGCTGTTAGAGAATTATTTGAAGCCTGGTATTGCCCTGTCATTAAGAAGAAATTTTAAAAAAAAAAGGTTATTAGAAAGTGATTTGCTTGGAACCCCATAGTCTGTGGATTTGCAATATACCTTATAGCTCTTGGTGCTGCAAGCTGTCTCTCTATGTGTATATTCTCAACAAAGTCACATTTTATTTTCAGGTAAAGCTTTCCCCTGGGTTGAAGAAGCTTTTCACAGTAACAGCAGTGAGTGCAATATCTGTGATTTTTCTGGCCCATCACTTTAAAAGAAGACGTGGAAAGAAAAACAAGAAAGTGCCCCCATGGGAACCAAGTCATCTGGTACTGGAGTGTACCAAAGCAGCTGATTCAGAAAAAGGTACATCTTGGAACTCCCAACTTGGATTTTTTTTGTTGCTTTCTTGGAGAGGAAGAAAAGGGGCAGTGAGCCTTTCCTCACAGGACAGGTGCTCCATCCCTCTAATGGTCTCCACAGGATAGAACACCTGAGCACCTTTGAATTGTTAAATTTTTACATTTGCCAAATTAGGAGCAAAATTACAGTGTCTTATAAAGAAGGCGGTGTTGTTCCCAAAGGTGAAGTTTCAATCATGAATTTGGATTAAAACTCCCCTTATGAATAGTATATTAACAATGGGGTTTGCCACTCTTAATACTGAGAAATGCAGATCTAATCTTTTACAGAATAGGAAAATAATTATGCTCCAATGCATAGTTGTTGTTATGGATAGTGACTGTTCTAGTGTGTAATTTCTCACATAGAACTATAAATAACAGAATAATTGTTGTTTGCTTCTAAACTGGACTTTATTGAGAAGAGTAAATGCAATTCAGTTCTTGTTAGAATTGCAAAAGATGCGATGTTTTGAGTTTGTGGGAGCTTTAAATAAAATAAGTGTATCTCTTAGGTTCTAGTTGTTCCAGCAGTCGACAAAACTTGACCCTTTCTCTGAGCTCTGCCAAGGAAAAAGGATCTCAGTCTTGTATCTATGCAAATGGAGGACTCTTCAGTAAATACTCTGGTTCAGTCCAAAGCCTGACCTCGGTAAGTAGAAGTGTTTTAAGGCTCTTGATTGTCATCTTGCAGTGAATCTGCATCTAAAGGTTTCCCTGAGCTGAAGGAACTTCCCTGAGCAAGCTGCAGGGTGGCTGGAGATGCTGAGAAGCCAATTGTCCTTCCCACCGAGGAAAACCAGCCTCTGGGCACATGGCTTGGGTGTAATGTACTCTGACAGGAATGTGGTTTTAAGGATCCTCTCTATAACAACACTTCAAAATCTGTGTGGTTTTTTTTTTTTTAAGGTTCAGAGTGCCACCTCTTGTCACAGCTGTGCTTGTGCCAATTCTAATTCCTGGGATAAAGCAGATGAGGATGACATTAAGCTTGTCAATATTCCAGTGACTACACCTGAAAATTTATATTTGATGGGTAAGTCACAATAAGAACTTCTTAGTAAAATCTTTTACTGATCTCAGTAAAAAGGCAAGGGATTGCTGTTGTTTTAAAAACTGAACATCTCTGTGATAATCATCCTTATTTTTGCTGTGTATTTTCTTGTGTCTGTGGAATGTGAGTGCCCCTGAGCTGTGTTTGATGGCCTGGGGGTGTTCCTGCTCTGCCCTAGGGATGGAGCTGTTTGAGGAGGCCCTGCGGCGCTGGGAGCAGGCACTGACCTTTCGGAACAGGCAAGCTGAAGATGAAGCCATCTGTGGTTCCATTAAGCTGGGAGCAGGAGATGCCATTGCAGAAGAAAGTGTAGAAGTGAGTATATTCAATCTGTAATCTGGTGCTGCCTTGGTAATTCCTTGTGTTTTATTACCTGAATCTTTTCAAATGGGAATTCCATTACCAAACTTGAGAATTAATTCCATTTCCAGTTTACTGGTATTGCCCTTAAAGGACATCTGACTTCATTCCTTTTGATTTTTTTTTTTTTGTTGATTATTTGGAGGAGGGCATGGGAAGGGAATCAGCATTATTTATTTTTTGGCAATTGCTACTGATACATCAGTGTTTGCTTGTGGTATTATGGACTTATCAAGCAGCTACTTCTCTGCACATAATCCTTGGGTCATCTCTTCCTTTTATGATCATGTAAGAGGGTGTCTGCTTAGCAAAGACAGGTCTCAGAAAAGATGATCAATTTGTGAATATTCACAAATAATGGTACCTGAACTTTGTTTTCCTCCGTTCCTATCAACTAAATGCTAAAAATATTTTGAAATAAACAGACACCACGTGTGGCTTTCATTTCCAGTGCAGTAAACATCACAGGTAATTTAAAAGTATTTTAAAATTCGGATTTGATTTTTATTACTCTAAATAAAATACATGTGTGTTCAGTAAAGTGTGTATATTTTGGAAGCTGAAGTATTCATCTGACTAATTCCCTACAAACAGCACGGGAACAATGTGGCATGCTTTGCTCTTTGAAGGCTTAATATCCTTAGACTTTACAAAGGAATCTTACAGACTGTAAACAAGTAGAAAATCTTCTAATGTCTGTCTTCTTGCAGGATATCATCAGTGCTGAATTCATTCATAAGCTTGAATCTCTTCTTCAAAGAGCTTATCGTCTTCAGGAGGAGTTTGAGGCCACCCTTGGGGTCTCTGATCCTGCTGCTCTAGCTAATGATGTTGGTGAGTTCTGCTATTTTACATCTTTTTTTTGCTTCTAATGATGGCTCTTGGTGGGGAGGTGGAACTGAAATATCCACTGAGCAGAATTATATTTATCAGTGAGTCAACAGAGAAAAAAAAAATCATGTTCTTTCCATTATTCTTTAGTGTTTGGTGAAGTACTTGTATTTTAGATAACAATGGATTGAAAGGAAAGATTTTTTTCTTTGTAGCTTTTCTGTATTTAAATATTTATCCAGTAAGTTCATATCACCCTTTTAAAGCATGGGTGTTGTAGAAGTTCCATGCATCTTTTGAACTGTCAGACTGTGTATGGTTTGTCATAGTGTTGTTTTTGTTTTTTTTTACTAAAAGCGAAGACCAAACTAGAAAGACTTAATCTGAGCTTAATAATCATTATCAAAGCTCTTATCCCTGGTGACTGAAAATTATCACAGTTGTGAGTGACTAACCTGTTGGAATGGCAAACAAAACGAGCAGTTGCTGCCAGACATGCTGATTAAGTAGTGATAGTTTGATTATTTTTATTTAAAGAATTGGGTGTAGGAGTTGTTCAAGACCGATACCGTTGTGCTCTTTCATAATTCAAGATGAAGCATCAGACTTTAAGGGCAGAACACGTTCAGGGGTTACTTTGTCAGGGTTGTTTGCTGGGTTCAGCTGGGCTGGCACGAGGTGGCAGCACTGTCCTCTCTTAGCCCTCCTGCATCCACTGAAATCACCTCTGAGCAAGGTGGGAATTAAATTTGGGTCAGAGCTGGCTTTCTGACATACTTCCATACACCTGTACATGTAATCCTTAAAGCAGAAAACCATTTGAATGTTGCATTTTATAATTTCTGTCCTCAAACAAAATCAATAAAATGGTATTCAAAGGACTCAACATGATGCTTCATGTGTTTAGTTACTGTTTTGCTTGGTTGCTTTGCAAATATTTTGAATTAATAGTTTATTTTTGTAGATGGGATAACTGGATTCTTGTTTGCCAAGAATGCTGTGAGAATTTCATTCCTTTCAAATGTTCTTCTTAGGAATAATCTGTGATATCTTGAGTAGATGTCTGTTACTTTATTATGAATTTTGTTGTGCTGGCCCAGATGAGTGAGGAAAACAAGTAAGGAAGTGGTTCAGTGAATACCATTTTCTGTGTTCAAGATTTGGGGCTTCTCTTCATTATCCTGAATTTGTGGCTTGAACAACAAGTCATGTATCAAAGAATGCTGCACTTTTCCAGAATGTTTTAGAGAACAGCAGGACATCATCTGCTTCCAAGTGCTGTGGTGCTTTGAAGACTTTTGTCCAATATTTGATACTGTTAACAACAACAGGAATGGAGGGGTTCAAGAGTCACAAGAATAAGCAAGTCCAGGAAAATTATGGAATTCCAGTGGTCAAAAGAAATGTGGTACAGCATTTACACTAAGAATAAGAATAATACCCTGCTGCAAAATATAAACCACAGTTCTGAACAGGATCATAAATTCCTGTGCTCTGTAGGAATAAATATCATTTGTGGCAAAAGAGGCAGCTGAGATGTGTTCCTGGATGATTTACACCTAAAACTTCTTAAAGGAGCTACGTAAAGAAAGCACCCTAATCTCTCACTTACTATTCGGTAATCTTGGAAAGTGAGAATGTTCCACATGATTGGGAGATTCCAAGTCTTGAAAAAACAACCAAACAACTCCCAGACTCCAACTCTTCATGCCTGTGAAATAGAATTGCTAATTTGCACCCAGACAAATATTTAGTGCCAGTTGATACAGTTTCACAGTAGGTGGGTTTTCTTGGACTGTAGGTTTTTGACAGCTCTGCAGTTTGGTGAATTGATACAGCATAAATTAGGTGATAATAGTTATCTCACTGATATGAACATTTATTTATACTTCTGTCTGCTTTAAGGGAGAGGTTTACTTTTTGTGGAAGATCAAATGCTATAATTTTAACAGCTGTGTGGTTGATTATAAAGTCATTTGTAGAGCTGGAAGTTGATAAAAATTTATAATTTAGGGCATTAAAAGCATTAGATTAATGAAGAACAAAGGTTAGTAAGATCTGAATTAGCTGTTTAAATGATTGCCATCTAACAAATTACATTCAATCCAGGCAAGTATGGATTGTACATATAATTGAGAGATTTTAAAAGAAAAATTATGAGGAAACACTCTTGGAATGTATTAGGAAAATTATGCATCACAATCAGTGTAAGTTCTTGGCATGTTGCTGTAGAAAAAAGACCATTGCTGCTCTTTGGCTTTGGGAAAAGGGTGGCACCAGCACAGAGGCAGAGATGCAATCTGGGTTTTGTATGGGGTTAGAATACTGTGTCCAGTTCTGTTGTTCATGTCTCAGGACATGTGGAGATACTAGACAGCTCAAAACAAGCCATAGGATTTATCTGTTTTGGAAAAACAAGCTAATGTGTGATTTGAGTTGGGTATGTCAGCTCCTTAATGAAGCAAATACTGAGAGGTGACTGACTTGTTCTGAATAGCTACTTACATATGGGAAAGGTATGTGGTGCTGGGGGATTTGTAGGCCTTGTCAAAGTCAGAACTAGATCAAATTTCTAGTTGTTCAGGGGAACCAAGTTAAGTTCTGAAGTATGTTGCATCTGAAGTGTGTTGAGAATAAGATTATTTTTTTTAATGCTGTTTTGAGGGAGGTTTTTGTTCTTCTGTGAGAGGAAGATCCAAGGCTCATCCCTGGATGTGTTCAAGGCCAGGTTGGATGGGGCTCTGAGCAGTCTGGTCTGGTGGAGAATGTCCCTGTCCATGGCAGGGGGTTGGAACAAGATGATGTTTAAGGTCCTTTCCAACCCAAACCATTCTATAATAACACTTGCAGCTTGTCATCAGAATACTCATAACCAGCTCTTGTGCTTCAGGGTTTCACTGTTGACCCACAACAGTAACCAGAAAATGGTTTTTCCCTCTGATACACAAGGTTAGCTGTAGTTTGTGCATTTGTCTTCCATTTTCTCTCTCTGAAGTGCCTGTGATTCCCCCCAGCTGCAGACAGGGCTCTGGCACTTGGACAAATGCTATCAAGTGCTACAGAAATGTCTGACTAGCACTTATTCTTGTTTGGGTTAGAACCAGCTCCAAATTTGGTCAGGAAGGAGATGTATAAAGGTAAAAATTTCTATCAATTCCTCAATTTCTGCTTTCTCTGTAAAGTTTTCTATCAAACTTGTGGAGCTCCTGAACCTTCTCTCTCCTCTCCTTGTCTGCTGGTCCCAGATGCTGCTCCCTCTCTAAACCTTTAAGTGTTTTATTCTTCCCAGATCATTATTTCCCTCCACCCAGTCAAATTAAGATCTCAGTGCTGCCATTGATCAGTCACACCACAGACTTGCTTTTCATTTTGTGATCCCACTGACTGTTGGAAATTGGTTGTGCCTGATGAACAATTTGCCAACCAGCTTTGAGAAGCAAGAATTCAGTCTCTGGAGGAGACTCTGGAAATGTGCCACGTGGGAGAGTCAGGAATGGGTTACCTGGGAGCCTTCTGGAAAACAAGAGCTTTTCACTGCAACCACTGGCTTTCCTGATGTGCTCTGAAGTGGTTTTCTTCTCATACTTGCCATGACAGGTAGTTCTGAGATTATAGAATATTCAGATATTTCTAAATATTCAACTTTTAGCAGTGCAGAAGATACAGGTATAAATAAATACATTTTATCCCTGGGGTAGAATTCTATTCATATAATAATAGAAATGTCTGCACATAATAATTTTCAACTCTGCTAGCTGTTGTTGAGTTATAAATGATTAATACAGGCCCTGGAAAAGACTTACATTTTAAATAGGTGAAATAATGGAATGCCATTATGCTCACTGTTGTTGCATTCTCCATTGGACTTTCAGAATTATCATATAAACCAGCAAGATAAAAGAGGATTTCTATAGAAAAAAATACCTCTGGACATGAAATTTAAAGAAATAGGTAAGGCTAAACAGGGATTGTTTTTCTGCTGTTCCTCTTAGTGCTGGGAAGCAGCGTGGGAAGCCTATAAACACTTTTTCTTGAGGTAGGAATGAACCAGAAAGGAGGCAATTGGCAGAAAAGTGGGAAACAGAATATTCTTCTTGTTATTTCTGAGTGATGAATGTAAAGGGGTAGAGGGTTAAAAGCTTCCAGCACTTTCTGTAGTCTGTCCTTGAAGAAAGTTCTCCTCATTTATTATTTTTTTTCCTATTTAGATCTTTTCTAGCAGACTTGAAATGTTAGTCGAGCTAACTTGGGAGGAATGTAAAGAGCTGGGAGAGAAACAATAGCTTTCCTTACGAGCAGAATTGCAGGTCAGAGGGGAAAATTCTCAAATTGTGGGGCTCCTTGTCACTACTAAATTCCTAATACTTCATATTGTTATTTTGATTTCTGCTCTACAAAGGAACTCAAACTAATGGTGGCTTGTGTACACCAGCCCTCCAGCTTTTTGGCCATATCAAAAAGTAATCAATGCATACCTTTGAATTTTTAAAATATTTGCTTTTTGTTGTGTATCAGTTATGCAGTTTCAAACCAGTGAAGTGTTTCAGCTGCTGCAGTGAAACCTCTCACAAAGGTCTGTGTTGTCGGATGGTTTTGTTGAAAGGTTTGTCTGTTTCTTTTTTTAATTTTCTTCTCACACTCCAAGATATGTCTGGCATTTTGGAGAGAATAAGCACAGCCTTTAACCTACTGACAAAACTGTTTGGAGAACTGATTTACATGTTAGGAACCTTTTCTCCAGCTGCTCTTAAAAACCCCAAAAATCAGTGAAGCTACTGGAAGATCTTTTTTATGTATTTTATTAACCCTGACTTCTATGATGTTTTACTGTCCATGGATTAATAACTAGAAGCCTGTATTTTCCTTCCTGCCTCAAAAATGTTACTGGAAAAATTTTAGCTTTTTTTATGTTTTATTTGATTATGCACAAGAAATGTTTCTGTTTATAATTCTCAGTCCCCAACGAGGAGATGAGCACTTTGTAATAATAATTCACTTAGGTG